TTTTCAGGGATTTGCCTAGGCAGCCTTTGGCATATTGCTATATATTCCTGATTATGAATGCTAAAAGTATAGAAAGAGCAAGCATTTTACCCGTTCTTGTACACAACACATTTCGCTGTTATTGACCACCACCTCCTAAGCAGACAATGCTTTCAGTTTAATCAAACGTTATTTTTGAGTACCATTTATTCTTGCTGTCATTTTTGTACATTTCCTAAACGTGTAATATCTAATATTCGCATTCCAGCTTTTAGTGTGCATAACATGAGGGCGTACATTTATACGAAAGTTAAAACTACGCCTCTTATGGCGATATTCAGTTACTATGTAACACGGTCAATTTATACTTCAACCATCTTCATGCCCTTGGTTTGACAGTCATACGAATTCCATTGGAGAAATACGAAGGTTTATTGCGATAAACCTGTAAATTAGAGCAATAAGCATCATTTTCTTTGCAGGTTCAATTGGAGTAATACGCCCATTAATAGAACGCAATACTACGGTTAAGCTGGGCTTAAGGTTGCTCCCATATTTTAACCATTTTACGTTCGATATTTTATCTACTCTATAAAAGCAATATCCCAAGATGTTAGAAAAATAATGAAACGAGCACCATTCTTCGTTAAAGCATGGTTCTTAGCCGTTAACTACTGCCGGTAGCTACTTCTATCGCTTTGGTTAGAAAATAGAGTGTTTGCTCTCCTCTAAACTAAAATTTGCGGGTAATCTAACCAAAGCGATAAAATATTTCGGAAGTAAATTATAAGCCTAAAGTCCTGAAGAGGAAGGCCGCAGTGAGAACGTGCAAAAATTAACAGGCCCCGTACCTTTTACAAGTTAATCAACATTTTGCACTTAAAACGGCTGGTGAGATATTAGTCAAAATAGGGGGTTGTGATTTTCTACTTTATAAAGATGGATGATTTCCTTATTGTGCGTCTGATTCAACAGTAATGACCGCTGGCGGTATTTCTTCCTATGTATTTGCTCATTCGCTAAAACGATTTGTCCACGGACTTCCAAACTGCCGCACGTACTTACTACCACTTTCTATTCACTCACTTACCAATCCATTCGTTTCAATTGCCAAAAAAGTTAATATAGGTTTATTCTGGTTATGATTTACAAATTCACGGCGCACGCAATCTTTCGTCTACTAAGCCATCTAAAGTTTTTCTTAAAATTTAGGAAGTATGGACATACTGTAGGGGCATACAATTTCTAGGCCGTCTTGTTACAACTGACAGCATCAAGTCGAGTGTTGGGAACTCATCGATGCTCCTATTCCATTAAATACTATGGAGGCAAGACACATTATGACCATGCTTTGAATGACCTGCGTTACCTCAATGAATTCACTAACACTGTTGAGCCCATTCCGGAGCCCAAAGGGACAAATGTGTGGATATTTTGGGCGAAGCGCATCAAGCGTCCTATATGGAGATAATACGCAACGCATTGTTTCAAATCCAGTCATGACAACGTTCGATGAAACATGCCCCACGAGTATCTTCACCGAAGCTACAAACAGGGGTATGTTTGCCACACTGCCACTATTCCAGAATTAGCATAAGTATGTTAATGCCCACGCCTCCAGAACATTGCCTGCAGTAGGTGATTTCTTACCCTGCTCTGCAAAATGAAGCTCTCGCATGCGTTAGTCTGTGGGAATTAAAAGCTTACTTTTAATTAACGTCTTCGCATTTGTGCCTACCAAGCAGCATTAAGTGTTTTTCTCATGGTAGCTATACAGGAAATCAAACCACTTGGAAATCGCCACAGGTACAAACGCTTATTTACACACGACTTCCAGATTTTATTTCGTCTAGGGATTAGAACGTTTATCAGTTGGTATGACTTGGCGGCCGCTGGAGTAAAGAATAACAAATGATGACGCAGATGACAGGATAATTATGCTCTTTAAATGGCCATATCATCACGGGTTTTGCCAAAATAAAGATTCCAAGATGTAAGCAAAAAATTGCGACACACCACAACGTCAAAAAAGCCTGTGACAGTTTTGTTACTCACAGGTTTACGGGTACGCATCATGGGTATTATGTGGTTGTCACATTCTTATATGAATGCTTAATGCTTGGCTGTAAATGCTACATTTTCCGTGGTTTAATGCAAAAAACATGCTCTTTTCGCACAAATGCCAACCTGGTTTCGCCCATACAAAACTTAACATAAACTCATTTTTCGCGGTAAAGATAGGTCTTTATATTCTGTACACTTTTTAATCAGCGCAGCCACATCACCAGCACTGTTGGAATGTAAAGTGATTTAACTAAAATCTGCCATTAGTGCACATGTTCATAGTAGTGACTAAGTAGAATGAATTCAAATGGCTCTAAAGTATGTTGTCCTGCATCCGAGTGCCAGATAAGATAGAGAATGACAAAGATCTGCATTATACCAGCTAACAATGTCTTTTTACACAACCTCACTCCGATTGATAGTCAAACAATACTTCACATAAACCAGAGCCAAACGGCATAATCGAAAGTCTCAAACTATGTTTAAAGCACAGGATTCGAAATTTTGGTTTGCGTATTACAACTTGGAATTCGCAATATATAGTAAACATTTTCCTACAGCACCGCACATGACGCGGGTGGCGTTTTCGGTCATTCATTCTCCTATATATATAGATAAGACAAACACTCCGTTAAGTCGCTTTGATTTACTTTACACACGGCTATCCTGTTCTTGCGCATCTAACAGACGTTTTAGAGTTTTCCTAACACAAGCATTTATTGCGCATTATAGTTCAAAACAGAAGGGGACTTGCTGTCCCAAAATATCGCCATTAAAACGACTTACATTCCTCAGCAACGTAATAACTTTTCGAATGACGTATACATCATTTTTTAATCATGTGTTCTAGAGGTATAAAGACTCGCCGCGCTTGGTGTTTGTAGTTCTATGGATTTTTGTCTGCCGCAGTTCTGTTTTCTTGGGTGGCCTACATAACGCCGCAACTGACAGACTGCTAAGGAGAAGAGTTCCGACCAGGGAACCAAGAGGATAATGGTAGAGTAATTAGGTGTGTTACAGTGACAGTAGAATGAACCTGGGTTATTGGAGGTAGTTATGCAGGACGTTCGCAGCGATTAAAGTTTGTTACTTTTATTATACGTTCTGTCATCCATGCTCTCGTTACCTGCAACAGTAAGACTACTAAAATGAGAACCTCGAGGTTATCAAAAATGGATGTCTATGTATTTCTGAGGCATTTTCCCGACATGTCTAAATTTGTCTTTCAGGGGTATTGGAAATTTGTTTCGACATAAAAAAATTCAACCAAATGGTCATGACGTTTTATGGATGACTAGAACAACCGCACCTACACTTGGGGGCCTATTGAAGATAGAATTTGTCACTCTAAATTAAAAGCCACATGTTTCCATCTAGCTCCATTAGATGAAACTTAAAGTGATGAGCCCATTTGTGCATGCTGCAATTTCTGTCGCCATGACCACTGCTTCAAATTGGAATCCACTTATCTGATTAGATCTATTTCAGCTCTTTCATGACCAGGGATCAACTGGTTCTATAAGATTTTCAGCTACGACCTCAGCTAGAATGTCGTATTTATGTGCAATTGTTCAGTCACTCCACAGTCCTCTAAGCCCAGGTTTCGAGAATTAAATTTGAATGGACTAATGAACGGTGCCGGTAGGACTAGAGACTAAAACAATGGGGTGAAAGATTACAACAGTTGTAAAACACGAATAAACAATTTAAGGCCTATGAGATCCGTGGGAGATTTGTGCGCATTACAAATATTTTAAAATAGGTTACACTAAAGTGAAGCGCACAACTGTGGACTCACCCGATAAGCAACACAAATCCAGTTCTTTTCAATTACCCTGATGTTTGTGGTGGTTGCTGAGCACAACTTTTGTCGGTAGCTTGTCTTCATTCCATGAACATATATAAACAAACCAATCTAGGTGATGTAGTATATAGCTACTTCGTTTAATAAAAACGGGTAGGTTGGCTGAAACAATTGCAAATGCTGAAAGAGCTTTAGCAATTCATAAGGGAATCAATGCGGAAGACATTCCAGCACACTGTGTACAGAAGCTTGGGAAGTAGCTGAGTTATCTGAGTGGCAAAATGATATGGTTTGGTTTTGGTAAATCCGGCGCGACTAGCGAATGCAGATTGCTTTGGATCGCTGTCACTATTTACCAGTAGACAATTGCTAGATCAAGCGTGCTGAAAAAGGAAGATCCTCACGGTGCATTTAACAAAACATCAAGCAATGGTAGTGTGTAGGATTCACCCTGAGTGACATTTCCATTTTCGGTAGTTTAGACTTATGAAATGCACAGCATTTCTCCTTTACTAATTCAGATGTAGAAGCCCATAGAGAACTAATAGGCTGTACAATAATCCTCTCCAGCAAATTAAGTATAAGTTTTGTGGGTCATTCTACCAAATCTCTGGGATTCGCCTTGGAGGTATGTAACAGGACCGAACGTCACGTAGCTCTCTGGGGTAAGCCATGTTGTTGTGACTCAATCATTTATATCCATATGTAAATGAAGCTGCGTTTTCCTGCGACAAGTCTGTAAGCAATTCCAGTGTGTTCTTAGCAAGACTCAGGCGGAGTGAGCAAACAAAATCAATCACCCATTTTTCGATCTGCAAACCTTAAAATTTTTAACAGCTTCTAAACTATCAATTCCGCGAGGTCTAATCAACTCATACATTGATCAGCGTTTCGATTGCAATTGTCCAATTTCAGTCGCCAATACAAGAAGCGCAAGTAGACCATACTAAAAATAATAAGGAACGGAATGTCGTCATATGAAGTGATCTCGTTTTTGATGCTCTGGTTTGCATTGCTGCCCCGAGTGAATTTCACATAACTGATGAATACCACTTCTCAATTAGCAGCCATTAGGTTGTACGTGCACTGACACTATGCGCAATATGTTAGCTGTCAAATCTTATCGGAGCTACTGTGAATCTCGCTTAAACCCATGTCGATGAAACGTATCAATCCGACTCAGCTAACTCGCAATTCCATTGATCACGCAGACGCCGAAGTCGACCCGCAGCATACAGTGGGTATGAACGCAGCTTGCGTACGGCCACACTTGCCTGGAAGTGTTTTATTATCACGAATGTGTTTGTAACATCCAATTATTGTAGGTTGATTTCGGTGCATTCCGAGTTTCGATGGAATCATTGATAGTACGACTGACAACCTGGGAATGCTTTGTTGCCTTAAGCTGCCTTCTGTGCCGTATGTCACAGGCAGCCGCATTTCTTTTTAAATGGTTTGAGTTTGGAGTGCAAACTGCAGCAGCAACTTGCTCTAGTTCTCCATCGTTTTGCAACGCTGAGTCCAAAATCTATATGAGGGTATCTATTATTCCCTAAATGCTAATAATTATTTTGTCCGTAGGACAAACGCTGTAAGCTGCATTTGTCACGTTGTTCCAGTACTTTATATCCACAAGCGAAGTCGCTCATTGTCCATATTACACATACATATGGAGCCATATGTTCTCTGGTCAATAGTATTGTCAGCAGAATAGTTTTCGAAGCTCATCGGGCCAACCTGGACAGCCCAGTGCACATCGGAGAATGGTTAATGATTCCAAAAATTTTCAGTTTTAAGATTTCACTGTGGCAACCACATCCCACTCACCTAATAAAAGCTCCGCGCGGTAAAACTGGGAACTGCTGTAAACATGCATATAACGGCATTTCCTAACGTGTTAGGCATTTGCCATGAAAACCGTCTGGGTGCCGGTAACATGAATGAGAGCTATTTGTAAATTTATTGAAAACTTGGAAAAGGAATCCATAGTTTAAAAATCCCCGCAGATGGGTCGAATGCAACCGCTATTTTTCATAGATTTGCTTGATTGACATTAGCGTTGTTACTTGCCTTTCGCAGACTTGAAAACCTTGTGTAGCATTAAACGCAGGAAAAACATATTGCTTGCATCAGCAGATTGTAGCAGGCAACCCGTAGCAACATTCATGTTTTGACGTATTCCCATTTCGTGAAAAAGCACGACCGGATTTCCGCAAAATAGTTTGTAGTATGGCGTAATCACAAGTGCGTTTGCTCAATATCTGTTCCTCTCTTCTAAGGTAACTTTAAAACGTGGCCTTGAGAGAATAAAAGCATCTGAAGCGAATGTACTGCTAAGGGTGCGGAAGGTTTGGTATTACTGCGTAAATTTAAAACTTAGTGAAAACAGAAGTACTCGTTCACCAAGTGGGAAGCATACATCTTGTGCAAAAAAAAACTTCGGTAGTATTTTATGGCCAACATCATGTTACCAACATTTTTACAGTTTACTAAATAATCAATTTCATTTAGTTTCTTTAACATGATACAAAATTCTGTCACATAATAGTAACGATGACCATTCATCAAACAAACATGAAGATTGGTGGCAATTTATCATTTACTTCATGTGAAAGTGTGATTTAACCAAAGCAAGATGTAGGAGTAAGTAGTTACCTGCGAAATACAGGCTTTTAGATTGTGACTTGAGATAGTGCAGGAACAAATTTAACACTACATGCATTGAGTTAAAATACTGTATTGCCAACGATTTTGCGCAAGCATTGTGGCATCTGAACTAAAACCTAGGGAGCAAAGTATTTAAACGTTAAGTGATTCCAATTCCTTGTCTCGTTTTTACCTATTCACTGAATTGTCCGTGCATTAAGATGATCACGCTAAACTTGGATGTATGTTAAAATAAGGATGTAAAGCAGCGAATTCACCTTCGACCACTTTATTTATGGATAATATTGTCGGTTACTAATACGACATGCTTCATCCTTTTCTTGTTGGATTAGTTGTTGTGACTAAGCTATGTCACTGCGAAGCTTATTCCAAAGACTGTAAGCAGCTGGCAGGTAAACAAACGTGTATTCTACGACTTATTATGTTGCATCTATAAGGCAGGTTTCATCTGGTAGTTTTCCTTTAGCGAAATCGAGCAAAATATCTATTAACTCTGTGCACGCCTTTCCAATATGGTTAATAATCGGCAGAGTAAGATGTCTTTGGGCTGAAAACCTTTAGCATTGGCCGCTTCACCTGCTTTAACAACACATGGGTAGGTTGATAATCCAAGTTCAGAACTCTCCTAATTGAACCTAGTCTTAAATTATAAATAATATTTTCGTCACAGAGAGAAAGTTAATTTACGCACAAAATATTTTCTGGTTTAAGAATTGCATTTCCCCAATTCTTATATGAGCGAAAGAAGTCTGACGAACAGTTGAAAAGAAAACAAAGGATATGATACATCGAAAAAGTAGACAAATGCCGCTGGACATTTCGCCAAAACTAATAATGCCAAGGTAATCCCATCCAAATACCTGGGTAAATTTGGTCAATCAGAGAAGGCTCTCTCTCTTTTCAATGCGATTCAATCTAGCTTACCTGCATCAGGTAGTTGTATCAGACTTCGTCATTAAACCCATCGGGAAGTAAACCAGGGCATAAACCCCTACACCCAAACTTTCACGATTAGCAAATTTGGCAAACCGGATAATGACTGATTGGATGGTGATTTTGAAGTCCGTGTTGTGTATTTGGATTACAAAACACAACCTTAAAGTGATTGTGATTTGCACTAGAGCAAAGCTTTGATAACTACATCGACAGAGGCGTAGCTGGAAAGTAAACAAATTGGTTATAGCTCATCGGATTTCACTGCAATTCATATCTTGTTTCGACCAAGTTTTCTAACAGGAAAACACATAATGCCATTTAAATCTACCTGATGAGACAAAATAAACTCGAAACCTGAAGTAAGTAGAAGGCTATTGTGATTGCCGTGCTTAATTTTATTATATTTTAAACAGAGCTACGTTTCAAAGCAAATCAGACAATAAAACGAGATTGCATGTCGCAATCCAATCACAGGACAATTGCTGTCACCAGGTGGATGATGAATATACGTCCTAATTTAAATCCGAACTGAACCAATTTCGAGTCCAGTTGTCCCTACCTTATGAGGCCAAATTTTGTCGAAACTCCTCGTGGTGTGCAGTGTTCTATGGATGACACCAATCAAATCAAATACACTTTGGTTACGGGCTTACTGATCCGAATGACCAGAGTTCGCTACAGTGCGAATGGTTTATGTATAAATGGTAAATGTCGCAGGGCCATCTTGCTTCCACGCAGATCTACATTTTACCGGAGCGACTATTATAAAAATCCAGGTGTAACTTTCGGACAAACCAAGGATCAACAATCCACTAATATAGGTATAACACTACATTCTCATGCCTTGAACTGGTTACACAAAATTGCAGACCACGTAAATTGCTACTATTTATTTACTGTTGATAATTCTAGGTTTTATTGAAATATGCCGGTGCTATATTCGACCTATGTAATAACTGTATGAATCTGAATATGTGTTCGAAGGTCGGTACTTAAGACTGGAACACATCAACAAGTCCATGAATAAACTTGCATTGCAATATTTGCCAAATCACGCCAGTAATATCTGAAAAGTTCTCGCATTACACAATGTGTAAAATAGAGTTCGGATCCGGAAAAACATGGCAATTAATGGTGGCTATTTTTAATCTCATCTTTCACCACAGAGCTTAGCTTATTTTGATTGCATCTCATGAAATGTATAAAAGTTGTGGTACCTGGAACCATAAATATAGAGCATACACATCAGCAAAGCAGAAAACTGTTGCGCAGCTAATCCCGTATTCCTGGTACCGAAGGTTGGAATACGTACAAAACAGGGTTCAGAAATAGTTTTGAAAGTTGAGCGCAGCGAGCTTAATTCTTGACTATGTCAACAATGTCAGCATATCTATGCCTCTTGTCACTTGCACATCCTCCGGTATGGACCGTTGCATTGACCTCGTCTGACATCAAAGAATGTAGTTTGTTTATCCCAAATACTGTCATCGGGGTTACCTGGAATTTGAAGCTATTTGACCATCGTCTCTTACTATAGATCTTTCGATAAGCGAAAAATTTTGGCAAGGCTACCTAGCTCACTTTGTTAATTTCCACTGCAGAACCTCGTTCATTTAGCTACCTGTCGGGTGTTGCAGAATTCCTAGTTGTTTACATCTGAAGCTAGTTCACTTCCGAATGGCTGTGATGCAGAAATCTTAGTCAAGGCAATATGATTTGAAACGGTGATTGTATTGTATTCCGTCTACACGTTTGAACACGCCGTGCTGCGTGCACGCAGCACAGGCACAGGCACACACACACACACACACAAACCAATACGGATGGTCGCTCTTAATCGAGAAAGCCCATACGTACCGAGTCAGGTAGAAATTTGTTCAAATTGCCTGATTTACTTCACATTCGCTTGTTCTCTGTGCCAGTGTACAACAGTTGTGTCATAGCTTACAAAACAACAACTGGAAAATACAGTTAGAGCAATCTCGATTTTACCGGCGTGATCCGAATATGCGTCCGACTTATAGAGTTTTAAATTAGTGGAAGAAACTCTTAAGAATATACCGTAAAACCTCTATTCGAGGAATGGACTGGTCACTGTAGAGTGTTGGTCCAAACAAAGAGGTTTGAATCCAAAAGTTTTACGTGGCGAATGTTCAAGCATTGCAAATAAAACGATCAAAGTATGGAGCGCTTCAGGTTATACAGGTGGCCTAACTTAGAGAACTACTATATTTTTATTTACTGTCCGTGTTGTATATTTACGTGATGCAGGAAATTCACAGTTCTCGGGCGCTTATTTGTCACGATGAGCACTTAAGCCGTGCCCAAACATTTTGCAAGGATGACCAGTTTCGAGGTAAAAATTATGTCCATCCGTATTTAGTTTGGCATTAACAGGGAAAAGAAAAGTGATATAATTTTAAGTTTTTTTACTTTAAAAATAAGATATTAGCAACAGTAAGCTGAGCAGATCAACCTCAACTACGCTTGTGTTGGTACGCAAGATATGACGTAGAACAGAAACGCGTAACCTCCTCCTCATAGAGTTCACGTTAAAGTAAAAACTGAAATTGCCTGGCCAGAAAGTAGATTGCGTCAAACAAATCCAGCAAATTTTAGCAAATGTCTGTGTCTCTTG